GATAGGGATTTAGGTAGTCCCAAGGAACATGAAATTTTGTAGTTAGAGAACAGAAGAAATCCATAAACAAAGCACTTTCCAAATACATCAGTGGGAATATAGGGTGGACATGGTAGGTGCCAGCAAAGAGGGGAAATCTCTGGTACAGGTTTCAGATGCCACCGATAACATTCTTAGCTTTTGGTTATCAGAAGCTAGTGGTCTGTTAGTATATTCCAAAAGGTTTTACCTGTACTTATAGGGATGCTAGCCCAGTCAGACACAGAGGTAGGAAATACTTGGCTATTAAAGGACTGAAGATATAAAATCGTAGGCAAAGGGCCAGGGATATGCTATGAGTAAGGCAATAGCTGTAAGCCTGAAGAGTTGGGTTCCATCTGGGACATAAGGAAAGGATGGAACTAACATCTGTAAATTGTCTTCTGCTAAAGGAATGCTGTTGGTGTGTGCACGCGTGTGCCTGTGTATACACACACACACACACACACACACACACACACACACACACACACACACACGAAGTAGTTCTGGAAGGATGACTCAGTGATTCACAGCACTTGCTCCTCTTGCAGAGGTCCTGGGTTTGGTTGCCAGCATCCACATTACAGCTCATAACCCCCTAACTCCAGTTTCAGGGCATTCAGAACCCTCTTCTGGCCTTTAGAGGCACTGCACACACATGGTGCACAGACAATCGTGCAGGCAAAACACGCACATGAAAAGTAAAAAAAGAAAATAAACTTTAGGATGGTTTTATTACTCTCTTAATTTTAAGTGTGCTGTCCAGTATTTACATATATTCATATGGTTGTAAAACCACCTGCAGAATTTTTCATTTTGCAAAGCTGAAACTATACACCCACTAAGCATTTCTTCACTTCCCAGCTCTTGGTATCTACCAGGCTACTACTTCCAGGAACTTCACTATAATAGATGCCTCATTCAAGCAGATTCATACACTACCCCTCTTATTGGGATTGCCTTAATCATTTTTATAAAACTTAAGAAAAATCACAGACTGGAATGTAAAAAACTAAAGAAAATCACAGGCAATATAAACAGGATTAAAATTCATCATTAATGTATTTAACACCACTGAGTTGTGTTTACAAAAATGGTTAGGATAAGTTTTGTGTGGACTCAACACATTAAAAAAAAATGCTAAGCCTTCTTAGGCCCTGAGCACTCTTGCAACAGGGAATTAGAAGGGGCACTGCTGAAAACCACCAACTCCACTTGCACCCAGGAGGTAACTAAAAAGCAGCATGAGGGGCCAGAGAAGCTCAGTGGGTAGCACGTCCGTCCAGCATGCACCAGGCCCTAGCACCACACGAAGCAATGCACATCTGTAAGCCCAGCACTTAAGAGGTAGAAGCCAGAGGATCAGAAATTAAGGGTCATTCTTGACTACCCAGTGAGTTTGAGGCCAGCTTGAATCCTCATCTCAAAAATGTAATTAAGCGAATTAAAAATCAAATAAAGGCAAGCTGAAGGCTGGGCAGCTCTGTGTTGTTCTTTGGGTCAGATTCCTGTTCACTGTGTTGCCATGATCATCTGTAAGGACTGTCTATCAACCTAACCCATCCCTTCCCCAGTCAAAGCTGACATGCACAAAGATAGGTCTGCCCTCCATCTGCAGACACCTTGGATTCCAGGAACAGAAACCCTGCAGGACTAACCACCTCAAAGCTGAGAACAGTATCTGTGGCAAAGAGGCCATACCCTGGAGCAGGGGTATCACCGCAATGGAACCAGATTGATCCAGTCTAGTAAAGAGAGCACCGAGTTTCAAGTCACCTGGAAGAACAAATGCCAAGACAATCAGCCAGACCGCACCTTGACCAGATTGCCAAATTATGCCCAACTGCTGCCCCTTGCCTTGGTTCTTTCCCTATCTCAATACAGAGTTCATGCCAGTACCATATGAAGGACTTGACAATCACTGGATCCCCACATCCATTGTCCCAATGCACCCAAGCAATGCTTTCCGCCGCTGCTTGTCTTTTACTGGTTTACTGGGACGGGTGTTGAGTATAGCCTGTTGAGGCTGGTTTTTTGCCCTAAAGCTGTTACACTGTGACAACTAAACCAGTTGGAACAAATTTCTTATGAAGAGTTTTTCATAGGTGTAATTTAGGAGCTTCATAATAACAAAAAGCACACTGACACCAATCAGCATTTTAATTGTTTATTTGTACGTGCTCCCAACAATCTGTCTCTCCTTGCCTGCTCCCAGGACAGACCACACCCTCACCCCAGCACACCTCTGGCACTAAACATGCCAAGTGAGGTAGGATTTCACAGCTTTCCTTGGCAGCGATTCAGGTAGCAGGTTTGAAGACAGGAGTGTGCATCTTGCTTGGTTAGGGCTATCTAATCACAAGATACTATGAATTGGGAAACTTACAAACAAGCATTAACTTCTCACTGTCCTAGAGGCTAGGAAACCCATGGTCAAGATTCTGGTGCACCTAGCATCCTCCAAGAGACCATTCTTTGCTGAACTCTCACACGAGAGGTTAGCTAACTCTCTGGGCTATCATATAAGGAGTGATCTGTTATCTTCCTAAGTGGAGCGGCCTCATGACAATTCACTTCTCAGAGGCCCAGCTTCAAATATGATTAGTTTGAGAATTAAGAATTCAATATAGGAATTTGAGAGAAACACAAGATCAAATTCAGATCATAGTAACAACCTAAAAAAACGTGCTACACACTGCTTTAGAAGCAAGACCACTTATTACACTGGGAAATTCTCAAACATGAGAGGGGTGTAGACAAATCTCCTTTGGGCAAACAAAAATAACTATGTACCCATCCCATGTCAAAAAAAAAAAAAACCAAACCTCCTTCCTTTGATTCATTTTACTATTATGTGAGGTGTAAACACTTCAACTGCACACTTCGTTGACTCCCATGTAAGCAGCAGTGACTCTACTACCCTCATGCCTCCAGATGTTTGACTTGATTTAGGAACGCAAAGTTAGAGGAGCTGTTGGGGGAGGAGGGGTGAGACAGCGTTTCTCTGTGAAGCTTTGAAGCCTGTCCTGGAACTCACTCCATAGACCAGGCTGGCCTTGAACTCACAGAAATGCACGTGCCTCTGCCTCCAGAGTGCTGAGATTAAAGCTGTGTGCCACCAACATCTGGATCTCTAAGTCACCATGGCAGTTCAGGTTTCGGTAACAGACATGTAAAGCAAACAGTTACGCTGTACACTGGGAGATGTGTTTATTTACTCCCTGTCTGTTGAAAGACACAGAGACAGTGAAGATTGCAGCAAAGGCCCAGCACCTACAGGCCACAGCCTCTTCCTAACAGGTCTAGCAAGCTGAATCAAAGGGCTATCCCCTCTTTACTAACTGCATCTTGGCTATGGCATCTTTACTATTCCTTCACAATTTCACACAAATACACTGAATGTACACTGATCATACTCTCTTCCTATTACTCTCTCTTATCCCTCTTAACCACCCTCCCACACACACAACTGAATTTTCTTGTAAACTCTCAGTTTAAAAAAAAAAATCCTAGTATCAGATATAGGCTAGGTGACTTGGGTCAGAGGGCTCCAGCCCACCAAAACACAGGTTACAGCATTGTTCTTGGTTGCCCACAAGAACTAGCTGTGGTATTAGCATGGAAGTCCCATGGACTAGATAAAATCCATGGGCTCTTTGTCAAAAGGAGAGATTACCAGTCACACTCGTGGACCAGAGCTTGGCACCTCCGTGCCTTCTCTTCACACCAACTGCGCATGACCCACATATACTTGGGAATTTTCAAGTAGTATAGGTTCCCAGGCTGATGAGATGGCTCAGCAATTACAAGTACTGGCTGCTCTTCCAGAGGACCTGGGTTTGATTCCCAGCACCCACATGGTAGTGCCCAACCATCCATAACTGCAGTTCCAGGAGATCCAACACCCTCTTCTGACCTCTGGGCATTGAATGCTCATAGTGCATGTATATACATGCAGGGGGAAAAAAATCATACACGCAAAGTAAAAAAAAAAAAAAGTATAGTTCTACCGATTTCAGTTTTGAAAAACACAACTCTATTTCAGATACGTGGTTCAGAGCATGAAGTTGGCCCACCCTGAGGCCTTTCCCACCTCTGCCTTGGCCTGCACCTTAGCCGCACAAGTCCACCAACTCTCCCTTCTAGGCTGCTTTGTGAACAAGCATTTTGGTCACTTTCTATTTTGATGATTTACTCTTTTTTTGTTTCAGTCATTTTAAATTATCCAAACTAGTTCATACTCAAAACCTTACCATTGTTATTTCACAGACAGGAACTCAGGTTACAAGGATTAAGATCATAAAGTAGGAGCTTAAATTAAATTGCAAAATACAAGAAATGCTGGCAATAAATAAAATATCTTTATTATGATTATTTAATAGTTAAAATCTGCATGTTTCCTTAGATAAAGTAGTTTATAACAGGATAAAAAATTACAAAAAGGCAAGCTCTTAATGATTCATTTGAATTAACTATAAAATCAAAATACTGCTAGTAATTTAATATCTTCTAAAGTAACACAAAATATATTCAATATGTAATACAAACCTCAATAATCCAAATCTCCTAATAAGCAATTATTTACAAATTCTGAACTGAGAGAAAACAGTTTAGCCAGACAAAGAAATGAAATGATGTTCTTAATAACTTCATCCTATGTAATCTAAGCTTTTGAGTAGAAATAATCATTCAATACAATGTTAATTAACCTTAATTTACATTTAGTTGGTATGAATTTATCCAACATAAATGTCTCTGTGCCTGGAAAATACAACTTTTAAAAGCGCTTAAGATTTCTAAGGCAATTTAACAATTCAGTCTGGCATCCCAAACCCACTACCTTAAAAGTACAGAATTTAACTAGGGGTACAGAATTTAACAACATCCCTATTTTAGTGGGCTTTTCCTGTCTAAACTGTATGGTTTTATTCATTTGTCCATATGCCAATGGCATAGACTAGTAAGCAAAGCAAGCAACATTACTTTTTTAAATAACATCTTTAATTAAAGTTTTTGCAAGGTAAAATATTAAACTTAAAATAGGTCTTAGTACAACAGAATACTAAGCTCCTTAATTGTATTCCAAGATGGTCTTTAAAACCTAATACCTCATATATCACAGAAGAGCAACCTTGATCTGCAAGTGTACAGAATGAATTTTACAAACATAATAAATATATTTACGCCCTTACACATAACAGTATGTACAACAGCAGTCGACAATAGTAGCTCCAAAAAGCTAGGGATTAATCCCTCCCCAACCCGATGCATTCGGGACTGATTTAAGGAAGCTTGACTGAATGAGTAATTATTTATTCAATGTTGTATTGTTCTCCCATCAAAACGGAGTAAGTTTTTGTTCCTCAAAATAAGCAAAAAAATTAAATTTGATGTGTTCTTCCTTAAATCATGCATGCAACAAAAATGACAAAAGAAAGACAAAGGCAGGCCTCCAGGGGGAAGAATATAAACCAGAATAATTTCCATAGGGTAACAGGTCAAAATCCAAACCTAACGATAAACACATGAGAAAACACACAAAACAACCATATTTAAACCAAAAAAACTCAGAATCTGCTATAGCGAATTCAGACAGGCAGGAAACATGAAACGAAAATGTACAAAGATCAATAAAATAGCACATTGCACAAAAGCTCAAAAGTTCAAGATGAAGTAATCTGAACTTTCTCAAGTGGAAGAATATGTTATTGTTTATAGAGGGAAAGCTGCTAAGGAGATATGTCTGTTTTCTTACACAAGGAATACTTACCCTCTAATATGGTGACATTATTGCTATAAGATAATAATAATAATAAAAAATTCTCAGAGAGAGACCACTCTGCATTCGTCCACACAAGCCACCAAAAGAAAACTCCTCGATTTTCAATACAGCACAGAAGGCCTTTATATAAAAACTTGTATATTTTACATTGTTTTCTAAAGCCAGATTCTATTATGCTTGTCAAGAACACGTCAATCACTGCACACGCTGCATGAATCTTGATGCCAGTGCGACTTTTAAAAAGGCAACAGTGTAAATGGTGCGTACTTAACAGAAATGTGAACATCTCAAATAAAAAAGCCCAATATAAAGATCCCCTCCTATCATGTTTGACTCTAGAAACTGCACGTGACCAAGTTGGGTATTACTCTAAGAAATCTCACGTGCTCTCAGGCGTCCAGTGGTCTGAGAATACAAAGGGCCACCAGGCTAGAATTCATACACTGAAAGGCATACATTTCCACTTTACTCATCCTGTGTGAATTTACCTTAGCACTACTGGCATCGTGTTATATAAAAGGTGTCATCACTATTGGTACAAATCTAAACAGATCGCCTTCTGAAAGCACCGCTTTCCAAATCGGAACTATTTCCACCTTTTGGGTAAACGTACTACTTTCATCTTGAAATTCTGCAAGTGGAATCCCTTGCCTTTCCAAAGGAATGACATTTTAATAGAACCTAATGACATCATCTATTAAAAGTAATGGCAAAAGCATGATTAACAATTTAAAGCAAGTGACATATATATAGCAAAAGCTAGTATAATAAAAAATACAACATGCTGCTTGATTTAAAAAGGAACACAATATAACAGCATAAAAGAGCGCAATCTGGTGTGCAGGGTTGTTTAAATCAGCTGTCAAGAGTTTTCACAGATAAAAGCATTCATCCAGGAGGCCATCGTTAACAGGCAATACAGAGATAGCCCTCCATATGTCACTCTGAAAGAAGCGGTTGTTCATGTTTGAAAAAAACAGGCCCGTGTACAATGCTCACCTTCAATATTTTTGACTACATAGAGGGCCCAGGACCTGTGCTGAATTAGCCATCACATGGTAATCAAAGTTTCAGCAGCATAACAGCTACTGAGGAGCCCAAGAGTTTCAGTGAAGCAACACTGCTGCACGGCCATAGGTAGTTCAGGCTTCACTGAGTCAACACAAACCTAGACACTGTACAGAGGGACAACTCAACAACACAATTCAAGGGATTTCACTCCCTCCGTTCTCCAAGTGTTATAAACAGAACTGCATGTGCTTGAGAATAGGAGAATAAACAAACTTCCCCCAAAAGGCTACATTAATAATAAAACAAGAAATTGTATTACCAGTTATGGCATACAAAATCTGTAACTACTATCATGTTAAGATAGCACCACTTCTACCAAATTCTACAACAGTTGGTTCAGTGGGGTGGTAAGTGGGGAAAAATCAATTGCATTAAGAAATGTAAAAATATGTGCTAAAAAAGCACTATATAACTCACAGTTTTTCTTGTGTAATATAATATATTTTATCTGTTACTTCTGGAACTACATAAAGTCAAATTAAAGGAAGACAAGAATGGAAGACAAAATAAAATCAGTGGGCAAGTTAACTTGAATGCTAATGTTGCTGGCCACTGGGACGGAGATGAAGGTGAGCGAACATCCCACAGTTCCCAGGAAGCTGGCTCACTGCAGCGCCACATGGTATAGAGCCCTGACAGATGCGAACCAGAGCTACACGTTCCCACCACACACAGTAGATGTCTAGAGAGTTTAATATACAAGTCAATCTCTGTATTTTCTTCCCAATGTGCAAACTGGAGCCCAAGTCTAGATCATCAATGGCCTGGAAGGGCTACCCAATGAAAGAGAGGTAAATTTGTTTTTAGTGGCCCACCTCCCTCCACCCCCTCCACCCCCAAACTTTCCCCTCAAATTACAAAGTTTTTTAAAAAAATTTGTTCAATTAAAATAATAACTTCTAAAATTCTTTACTAGTAAACACAAGAAACTTTTATAATTACTAAATTGTTTAATAAAAATCCAGTCCTCACCACCTGCCCTTATGCTTCTTAGGTCAATGTACAGAATGCCATCTCAGTGTTACAAAAAGACTAAATGCACAGCTAAGCACACGCTGTAGCCCAACAAGAAAAACCTTCACATATCAAGTGCACTATACAATTTAGCTCAGTGGTACCTTTGTGAATAAAAACATATTCCTGAGGAGCCAATTGGGGTTTCTTCTTAAAGTATGGGACTGGGTACAGTTTTTCCATATGGAAATCAAGCTGTCACTTTAATTCTACTCAACACAGGTAAGACCCAAGTCTTTTTAAGTTACACTTAACAAGTATGAAAACCTAATTAAAACAAGCATCCATTCCTGGGTCAACTTTGTCTCCAAACTGTGACCATTGATCCTTTCTTTAAATCTAAAGTAGATGTTTCATACAGCAGGGAAGCAAGAGGTATGTATTACTGAGGGAGAGTAACAAGTAAAAATGTTTAAGACCTATTATGAGTTTTAAATTCTCTTATACAAGTGAATTAAATATCAACACCATAATTCTTGCCCTTCTGTAAAAAGCTCACACGCAATTTGTACCAAATATAAGCACATACAATAAACAGATTCAGTCCAATCTATCAAAATGGAAATTTCTTCAGGTCATTCCAACAAGTATCTTCTGACTGAGCCCAACTTGGAGAAAAGAATATAGACAAACTTTACATGCTAATTACCAATGGCAGATTCCTGTATTTAAAATTGACAATTACAGTATCCTACACAAACCCTCCCCCCACCCAACAACCCCAGGTGCTACAGTTCCATGGCTTGCCAGTTAGAAGTAGTGTCTATGTTGTCAAGGGCTAGCTTTGTTTTGTTCCAGTAGCTTTGCTTCTACTGCGCTTTTCTGACATGCAGAAGTGAAGTTTTGGTTGATATATGTCCCAAGTTTCAAACCGTCCATTTTAACTTTTTAAGTTTCTTTTGTCTTACTTATAAAAGGAAAGAAGCAATTCTTCACCACTCTGCATCTCCAATTGCTTTGGAAAATATATAATCTCTTCCGTTAAGATTCATAATGCCATCCTTGAGGTGAAATTTCCATTTATTTTTACTTCTGTGTATCTAAACAAAAATTGAGAATGCAAAAGATATAATAGGAAAACACAACAAAACTCCATTTATAATAAAACCAAAAGCTTGTCTTGCACAATTACTAGATTTTAAAACTGTTATCTTAGTGTTTAGCAAGAAAAAAACTATGTAGATTTAAATTTTTCTTTAATTCATTAATAGTTCTCAGTAACTTGTATTCACTAAAATAGTTACAAGTTATCTGCAAGCAATACAAATGGGACCTTATTTCTTTCAGTAAAATAAACTTAGTGTTCTCAAAACCTAGCATGGACCTTTCAAACAATGTAGCTAACTGTTAAGTAGATACATATCTCTGAGCTCTGGATCCTAAAATCCTACACTCTTAGCGCAGACACCCTCTGACATATTTAGGACAAATGGCTGTTCAATGCTTATCTGATTATAATTAGGAGTTTGTTAAGACTTTACCCTGTCCTGAAATCTGTTTCCTCTAACTTTCACTTACTGATCCTAATGCTACTTTTTGATATAAAAATAGCGTTTTGTGCATCTGGAAATCACTCGATGTTCCTGCTCTAGATTCCAACTTTTCTCATTAAAATAATACAGAGAACAATAATCTTAGCATGAAGAGTTTCTCACATTCAGAAAGAAATCCAGAACTTCAATACTTAGGTCATGTTGAGTAGTAAATGATAAATATTTTTATGTATACTAAAGTATAAAACACAACCTTAAAAGCACTCCTTTCCTGGCCTAAGCCCTTAATGAATGTACTGAAAGCCAACAGAAAGGCCTCTTTAATGTCCAATGAAAATATATTAAAGTAAAATTTCTTATAAATAGGTTGAAACCTCACACCATGCCATTTTCCCCAATACCCCAATACTCCAAATTACCTAAAACCTGTCATCCTGTTAGCATTTAACTAAGACCATGGCTTGTCTGGCAATATAAACACCATTATTCCTCCTGTGCTTTTCTTAAAATCAAGTCACTACTGAAATTAAAGCTTAGGCTTCAAAGCAAACTTCCTAAAACTCAAGTTGGCTCAAACCACATTTATCCTTATCTTAACTAACCAGACTACCTCACTGTTTATACTTTGCTAAAACACTTGACCATTCTTTCCGTCTTTCTAATTCTTGAAATACAGTTCTAAAAACTCTGAAATTGTTTTTCACTAGGTTATGTAAACCAAGTCTGTTAGTTTAAAATATAAATGTTCCTGAAAGCAAAGCAAACCAACTTCATTAACATTTAAAACACTATATATAGCTTATCAAGGTGAATATTCTCTTACAACAGGAAATTACTCTAAGAAAAAAAATTTTTTGGAGACAGATTTTCTCTGTGTTACAGCCCTGGTTGTTCTGGAACTTGCTTTGTAGACCAGGTTTGCCTCAAAGTCAGAGATCTAACTGCCTCTGCCTCCCGAGTGCTGGGATTAAAGGCATGTGCCGCCGCCACCACCCGGCAAGAAATGTTCTTTGCTTGCTTATCATGAAATTATGTACTGGGTATTTGGCTGCAAACAGGTTACTTAGGCCTTCTTGCTGTTTTAACGTCATTTGCTGTACTATGTGCAGTAAGGGTAAGTCAAAATGCACAAAAGCAAATGTCATCAAATTATCAATAATGTATTGGACTTTAAGTTACTGGTATGAAACTGGCCTGGTTTTACCTTATACTAAGATTCATTCTACTTGATATAAGCAGTACTTATCATATTCATTAAACAACAAAAACATAAAACTTAAGATTTCTTTAAAATACAAGGAAATTTCTTGCAAATACACAAATAATGCACACTTAGTTCTCCCTGCTACTCAATAAACATTTAGAAAACACAGTTATGAAGAAAAGCCAATGTAATGTTAAAGTATTATAAATTTTATGATTGCCAAAAGAGCTTATAACTTAATGACTTAATTATAAAATTCCCAACAAAAAAACTAATACAACAGTTCTCAACATGGGGAGTTGCAAACCCTTAGGAGGTCAACAACCCTTTCACAGAAAGTCGCCTAAGACCGTTAAAAAACAGTATTTAAACAATCTCTTAAAGCTCAGCTGCCTATTAGTTTTTGTTACTGCTTATTTTCCTGGTCCTCTTAATAATAAGATACTCAATTATGTCTTTTCAGACTCAAGAAGAGCTCAAATTTATGAAGACAAAATTCTCTTACGACTTTGTGTCATTGAAAGGAAAAGGGGCTGTTTACAAGCTGATGTCGAAGGAATAGAAACACGACCATCTTGGGGCTGGAGAGATGGCTCAGCAGTTAAGAGCGCTGCTTTCTCTTCCAGAGAACCCTGCTTCAATTCCCAGCACCTACAACGGCAGCTCACAACTGTCTGTAGCCAGTTCCAGGGGATCTAACATCCTCACACAAACACACATGCTGGCAAAACACCAATGCACATAAACTAAAAATATTTTTTTTAAAAAAAGAAAAATGATCATCTCTCGCCGTTTTACTCATCACTTACTTTTCAAAAGTAAGCTAAGAAATTAGTATACTCAGACAATCTGTGAAACAGTAACAATGCTTTCTTTCAGTGTCTATAAAAAGTAAAGAAGGAGAGTGCACCTATAATCCTAGGCTGAGGCAGGAGTACAGCTAAATATGAAGACACCCTGAGCTAGCTACCAGGGTTCCAAGCCATCCTAGATTGGATCTCAGAAGTAAAATTAAATACGGACAGTCATCATCTCCCTAAATCTTTCAGTAAGGCTAAAAAGATGGTTTAGAGGAGAACCTACAAAAAGAGTCCGTAACTGAAAATGAAGTCCTTCATGCTCCAAAGCTACACCGACAAACCCTGTCTCAAAGAAACAAACAGTCCTTACCTTATCATATTGGCATACAACAACATTTTCTGTGTCAAAGAGTTCCTGTCCTTCCTCGTCACTCACATCATCTTCACTGTTGAGGGGCTCCTGAAAATAGAAAGGTAAGTTATACGCAGACCTCCTGTACTGCTGTAAAAGTTTGCTGTACCATTTAGTAGAAGAAGTGCAGGGACCACGAAGCTCTCTGAGAACTACATATCAGGTGTGTCTGCACACACTGAGAGGGTAGAGAGCTATCAACACCGAAGGTCTGCCGTTGGTATTTCAGCAAGAAACGCAATAGAAGTGAAGCTAGCAGACTCCTAAGAATCAAAAGGGGTTAAAATGTATTTCCTTGGGGGCTAAAGGGACGGTTCATCTGTTAAGAGCATTGTCTGCTCACGTAGAAGACCTGGATTCGATTCCCAGCACCCACACTGCAGCTCACAACCACGTCTAGATCTAATGCAGGGAACCAGGTGCCCTCTTCTGGACTCCCTGGTTACCGGGCCCTCACCTGATGAACAGGCATACATGCAGACAAAACAGACACACATCAAGTAATTTTAAGATTTTTCTTTAGCCTCTAGTAAATGCACAAGATAAATTCTCACCAATAAATGTTTCAGATACCTAGAAATAAGACTGAGAAAATATGAAGGTTGTGTTGTGAGGTCATGATATTATGCACCAGCAACAGCAGCAGAAAGCAAAACAGACCATCAGTAACACTGGAGAAGAAAGCAAAGAATACAATTGGTTTGCAGTGTGGCCTTAGGGCTGTACTAAAGACCAAGATTCTGAATGCCAATCAGTACTGTTTGTCATTATGATGGATGACATTATGGTGGCGATACAATGAACAATTAAATTTTAAATTACTTAAATGCAGGACAAAATAAAACCCAAGGAGGGGATAAAATAAAGTAGAAATTCATTTGTGCTAGAAGACTTTAACTCAGATTTCCAATAAATGAAGGAAGGAAAACGCATGGCAAAACAGAGGTAGAAAGGAAAATAATCAAGAATGACAAAAGTCTAGGTGTATTAGGTGTATGTCACTCAAACATAGGTGTGTCTGTACACACCCTCTTTAAATAAAAATGTCTATGTTAAATGGGAAAAGATGACACAACCCTTTCGGAATGTGCACTTCAGTTACACTGCGCACATTCCTGATGGAATCATCTCTGCTACACAGCTCCAGAGCACTTCACGAATCTTAAGAACCCATAAGCAATCACTCTATACAGTCCCTTCTGTCCCCTGGCAACCACCAATCTGCTTTGCCTCTCCTGGATATAAAAACGGAGCAGTACAAGGTGTGGGCGTTTGTGCTGCTTTCAGGTCTTCGGTGTGTACTCATGTAGTAGCATGCACCAGTACTCCATACTTCTTTACAGCTAAATGCCATTGTGTCGTATGGATATGACACCATTTATTTGCCACTCACAAGATACTAACAGGATGCTAATACTCTTTGGAAGTCAGGAGTGTTGCCATGAGCACTCATGTGCATGTATTTGTCTCAACACCTGTTTTCAATTCTTCCCTACATGCACTTGTAGGTGAAACTTGGCAGCACAGGGCTAACTCTCTGCTTAACTCTGAAAAACCACCACCACCACCTCACTGTTTTCATAAAAGCTGTCTACTACGCATTCACACCAGAAACACACAAGCCTTCAGATTTTCCCAAATCCCCACCAATGCATATACACTTTCTTTCCAAATTCTACACCCTAGACTGGAGAGATGGCTCCAGCTATTAAAAATACTGACTGCTTTTCCAGAGGACCTGACTCCAATTCCAGGCAGCTCATAACCATCTATAGCTTCAGTTCCAATTGTCTGATCCCCTCTGCTGGCCTCTGTAGGCACTGCATGTGTGTGGTATACGAAAATACAAAACTACATAAACATAATTTTTTTTAACTTTAGTTTTCCTAGTAGCTGTGACAAGCCCCCTAGCTGTGGTTTATATGTGCATTTCCCTACTGACTAAAAATGCTGAGGAAAACCACATCTGCTATTACAGTTTCCAACTATCAAAGGTGCAAGCATAGCACAACATAGCCAAGTTCCCCTGTTCAGTCTCACAACGACTACAATTCACAGTATCCCAAGATATATTTCATCTTTGGGTCCTTTCCCCAAGCTCATTCACGTTGTCAGCAGAACTGAACTGTTTCAAGTTTTAAGAATGCGACCTTTAGCCAGGCGTTGGTGGCGCACGCCTTTAATCCCAGCACTCGGGAGGCAGAGGCAGGCAGATCTCTGTGAGTTTGAGACCAGCTTGGTCTACAATAGCTAGTTCCAGGACAGCCACCAAAGCCACAGAGGAACCCTGCCTCGAAAAACCAAAAAAAAAAAAAAAAAAAAAAAAAGAATGAGACCTTTCTTTAGTAGATGTTCTCATGAGCTGAGCCATAGATAGTTCAACGGCAGAATAGAGTGAGAAGCTTTAACAAGACCCACAGACGCTGCAAACTGTGACCCACCCATGTTTAATTTCAGCAGCACTTGGGGAGCAGAGGCAGGCAAATCTTGGTGAGTTACAGATCAGCCTCATCTACATAACTGAGTCCAAGACAGCCAGAGCTACATAATAAGACCCTGCCTTAAAAAAAAAAAAAAAGATAACAACAATAAAACCCCCAAATTTAGCCAGGCGTGGACAGTGGTACACAACTTTAATCCCAACACTTAGGAGGTGCAGAGCTCCAGGCTAGCAAGGGCTACATAAGACTGTCTTATAAATAACACTAAATTTAAAAATTAAACAAAAACAAATACAGAAGGGATTAGTATAATGTTTAAACAAGAAGTCCGAATTCGCTCATAAGGATCCTATTAACATGAGAGCCCTGAGAGGAGTATGGAAACAGGTGACAGAAACACGCACACTGATGCAAACTGTGTCACTGAGCCCGGCAGTTACAGAGGACAATGCACAGTGACTAAGCTGTGTCCTATCAGGAACTCAAGACTGGTTTGTATATTAAGACCAATCAATGAAATTCATAAATTTCATAAAATTAGATAGTCTGTGACTATCTAATGGTTGCAGAAAAACATTTAATAAAATACATTTCCTTATAGTTTAAAAAGAAAAAGCAAAGAACTTTGCTAATTATAAAGACAGTGAATTCTTCCAAACCTAAAAGACATCCACAAAAAAACAACAAATCTACTTAATAACAGACCATTAAAAGAAAATCCATCTATATAGAAAACAAAAGAATCAAAGGCATCAATACAAAAGGCATCAGGCTGGCTCAATGGTGAATATTAAAAGCTCTATGCTATACATTATCTAACACCAGCAAGCAGGAGAAAAAGCAATGTAAATGTCACTTGGAGAAGGATCAAAAATGTAGGAAAGGGCTAAAGGCAATGCTAAATAAGTACTTCCACATAATAAAAAAAAATGTAAGTACAAATAACAAGTAGATACATGAAAAGGGGCCGAAGATCCTAAGCATCCGAAACTCAAACTAAAACCAAACCAAGACACAATTTTCTACAGACTGGAAAAATTCAACAGTCTGCCAATATTAACAAGCGATGACATGCTGACATCTACAAATTATAGACAAAAATGGCAGAATAGAGTCAGTACAGTAAGTTGGCAAATCCATGTTCATGTATAATACTGAAGAGAAATACACAAGAGTTCCCAAACACATAAGAATATTTTAGAATACAGAAAAGAACTAGAAGTCGCCCAAATGTTCAATGGATCCAAAACAGGATAATCAAATAAGGGTACAGTCAACAGCAAAAATAATTACAGCTATATGCAACAACCTGGCTGAACATCAGGACTGTCATTGTAAGAAAAATAAACAGAAACTACATTTAAAAAATTGCACTTATACTATTCAAGCAGGATCCTTCGGAAATAAAAACATACTGAAATACAAAGACACGTTAATGATACAGTCTAGCACAGATGCTTTGAAAGCAGAAGGGAGAGGATGAGATAGAGGAAGAAACACCAGATCATTTTAAGTGACGGAAACCAACCACACCTCATTGGTGCACACCAGGATAGTCAATAAAATAGTTTAGTCACTTTGATTCCTCAGGTATTTAATAAACTATCTTTAAACTATTTAGAATAAAATTTTTAGGCCCAAACAATGGCTCGCACCTATAATCCTTGGGAGGATTATACTTGGGAGGCTGAACAAGGAGGCTTGCCACAAGCTCAAGTCCAATCTGGGCTATATAGAGTTCTAGACAAGTAGCCTAGGCTACAGTGTGACACTGTCTCAAAAAATAAAAAATAAAAAAAAATAAACCACCTAAATAATAATAAATGAATACATTTAGTGAGGCCCATTCTATATGAAGAGAAACCATGCCAGCCTAGGCACAGGGGTGAAGGGGGTGGAGAGGTACCTTGGTCCTGCTTCAACTAGATGATGGGACAAACTCAGTAGACTTCTTCTAGGAGGCCTTACCCTCTCCATGGAGCAGACGGGAGGGGGGGAGTGGAAGGAGTGGGAGGAAAGAGGGAGGGGGAACTGGAATTGGAATGTAAAAAGTGAAATAAAAAAAGAAACCTTAAAATAATAATAAATGAATACAAATCAGTAAAATGAAACACAATTTTGTATTAACATTTGCAAGAAAGATGATTCCATTTTATGCCAAAGCAATTAATCATGAAAATTACGGTGGGCCAAACCATCGCCTCAGACATGGTAACTATACTGAAACCTGGTGACACAATGTTCATAGGCGTCAAGAAAAAGGCACGAAGACCAGATTACTGAGGACCTGGCATGGAATAGAACAAAAAAAGACTGAAAGATGCTCTGGGCTTGAGCTGCCACATTCAGTTATCCCCGTTTCCTCTCCCCAAATACTGCCATGGCTTTTCAATTACTAAAACCGAAGGTGAATCATGTCCATCTGTTCTACCAATATCTTATGCTTAAGCCACATTATGAATAACAAAGTGCAAAAAATCTGATTTATATTAATATAATTTCCAATTGATATACAGACCTTTAAAAAAAACCGAGCCTGAGGCCAGGTGTGGGTGGCGCATGCCTTTAATCCCAGCACTTAGGAGGCAGAGGCAGGAGGATCTCTGTTAAGTTTGAGGCCAGCCTGGTGTACAGAGCAAGTTCCAGGACAACTTCTAAAGCAATACAGACAAAACCGGGTCTCGAAAGACAAAACAAAAAACAAACAAAAAAAGAGCCTGTAGTGGTTGCTCTTAATATCAACCCAACAGGACCTAAAATGGCCTAGGAGACAACCCTCCAGGCACATGTATGAGGGATGGATAATCTAGCTCCTGAGGATGCCTATGATGGAATCTGACGGCGTGGTTAATTGAGGTAGAAGAACCACACTCAGAGAGGGTGACACACTCCCTGGGTTTGGGGAAGAGAAAGCTAGCTGAGTCCAAGCAGCCACCTCTCTGCCTCTGAAGAAACAGCACATAATCTGTCTAGTTAGCACTGAATTAACAATAATAATGAGTGGCTTCCTTTTCAAGTCTCCTTTGTACTAGAAACTTACTTCTTCCACCTGCCTATCTTCAGCTCCATCTTTCTCCTTATCTTCCTCCTCATCGTCATCATAGTCCTCTTCCTCATCTTCATCTTCCTCAGATGATGTATCCCCTGTTCCATCAACTTGCAGCACCAATGGGGCTTGCTGTTGAGCAGGCTGGGCCTGTGGCTGCTGCTGGCCAGCTGCAGGAATCTGGGCTTGCGCTGGTGTGGGTGCCGCCACTGTAGTAGGGATGACCTGAGTCTTATTTCCTGTAAATAAGATTTGCTGTGGCTGGATGATGACACCTGTCTGTGGTGAAATCCCTCCAGGAAGTGGAGCCAGGACCTAGGGCAAACAAAGCCACCTATTATTAGGAACTAGTAAGAGAGATCAAGAAACCAGAACCAAACAATAATTCAGTTTTAAATATGAGAAATGCTAATTAGGCTTGGAGGCCTAACGATGATGACGATGATTATAATTATAATAGTAAAAATAACAACAGTTCAGAGTAAGATTATTTTGGCTACTTTATCTGGAAACTTGTTGGAGAAAAGAGTAGGGGCCACACGATAAATTCATACAGCTACAGCTGCAGCTGCAGCAGCTGGATCCCAGGGGATGGGAACATTGCTTTACCTGCTGGATTACAGGACCCTGTACTCCACCAGGCTGCATCTGTGGTATAACTTGTTGTTGTAGAACAACTGACTGCTGAGGTTGAAAGATATACTGGGCACCATTGGCTGCTCGGACCACCTGAAGAAGCTGACCTAAGGCAAAAAAAGAAAGCGATAAAAACACAAAGAAATGAGTTTATATTGCTTTCAAGCCAAAGAACCAAAAATTACCAAATTAGAAGACTATTTTACTAAGGGCTATCAACTATACATGATAAACTACAACCACTATTGTTCACAATTTCCCTCTATGTCCACATGCTTTCCCGTATTTATTATCTTCATTAGCTTTTCTTTTTGTACATGCCTTTATTTCTTTTGCTTAAATGGTAGCAATCAAGAAAGAGTAGTAAATAGTATTAGACTTTTTTTTTTTTTTTTGATTTTTCGAGACAGGGTTTCTCTGTTTTGTTTTGGAGGCTGTCCTGGCACTCGCTCTGTAGACCAGGCTGGCCTCGAGTTCACAGAGATCCGCCTGCCTCTGCCTCCCGAGTGCTGGGATTAAAGGTGTGCACCACCAACGCCCAGCAGTATTAGACATTTTAAACTGTAAAGACACAAAGGTTTATACCTTAAACCAAAGTACAGGGCTTACCTTCAAATTTTCGACAAGCAATGATAATTTGCTAAGACAATTAGAACTGCTGTAATTATGACTAAATAATACATAATACATGGAATAGCCTCATATACTCCTTAGGAGTGAACAAATGTCTTGATGCATTATCAAGACAAAGCCCTCTCCATGAGTTTGAGGCCAGCCTGGTCTACAGACTGAGTTCCAGGACAGCCTCCAAAGTTGCATAGAAACCCTGCCTCGAAAAACCAAAAAAAAAAAGAAAGAAAGAAAGAAAGAAAAAGCCCTAATTGGCTCTGCACAAATTTAGACATCACAAACAATCAATCAATAAATGATATAAAGATCAGGCCATATACCAGGCTATGTAAGTCTTCCAAAAGATAAGATGAAAATATTAATTTGACATAACTACAGAGACAGTATTATCTAAAAGTACAGAATGAATCAGCTCTTCAGGTCCTGTGGAATTTAATTTGATCATCACAAATTAATTCAAATATTTCATTTAGCAAAACAGATGCTTAGATAAAAAAGATAAATCTCAGTAAATAACCATTTATCTGTAATCCCACTTGGGCAGGGTTCTCATTCACAGAACAAAAGATCCATTTGTTGTTTTTTTTTTTTTAATTCCCATTTTAATTTTTTTCTTTTTTGAATCAGGGTTTCAGTTGGGCTTGAACTCACTATGCAACCAAGGATGACATTGAACTTCTGATCCCCTGCCTCCAAATCCCAAATGCTGGGATTATGTGTGCTACCACACCTAGCTACCATTTTCATTTTTTCAATTGTATCCTCAACAAAGACTACAATTCTATAACCTATAGCCCTCGAATTACTTTAGCAAGTGTCAGTATTGCCTCCCTTCAGTGACAATAAAACATGAAGAGCTACTTGGTGTGAATTTCTGAACAATATTTAAACTGCGTTCCTGGTTCTAATTACCTGAATTTGTTAGTATCTGTTGAACAGGAGTCACGCCTGCAGGGAGTGCCAAGGTAGCGGCTGTAGCAGCAGCACTCTGGAAGAGTAAAACAAAGGGAAGAGTCATATCTGCACACGCACTAACCAGTGTGCTTTGCAGTGCATGAAGAGCTGACTGAAAGGGCGCTTCAACAGCAGGACGACGCTCAACTATTTCAAGAATTGTAAGTCAGTCTATTTGTCTGCTCCCCTAAAGAGCTTACTCTAGGCAACCTCCTGATTCAAGTCTCACAGACTCGGTCTAACCTGTATGTTTTTAGAAATACATGCACTCACATCCATGTTGCACCACGAGACCACCATTCCACGACTACCATCCTTCCACTCTTTGGTTCCCTACACCCAATTTATCTCGTATATGTGAACCCAAAGGTCTATCGATATTTTTCCTCCATACACTTATGCATATCCTGGATATGATTTCACATTTTAGTTGCCTATGGGCTTTCTCCTTTTCTTTTTCTGAGTGTAGTCTTGTATATAATCCTCTCTAGCCTATAACTCACTGTATAAGCAGACTGGTCTTCAACATTAAGGGAGTCTCCTGCTTTTCTTTGATTCCCAAGTACTGGGATCACAAGTGCACACCAACATGCTTAGTCTTGTTTTACTTTGTTTTTTGAGACAGGGTCTTTTTTTTTTTTTTTTTTACATTTTATGTGCATTGGTGTTTTGCCTATACGTATGTCTGTGAGAGGGTGTTGGGTCACCTAGGTGCTGAGAACTGAACTGTATCTTCTGGAAAAGCAGTCAGTGCTCTTAACCACTGAGCCATCTCTCCAGACTCTTAGTCTTGTTTTTTTTAAGACAGAGTTTCACTACATAGTCCAGGCTGGCCTCAAACTGGTGATCCTCCTGACATTGCCTCCTGAGGGATAGGATTACAAAAGCACCTTATGATGGTCCCAGTTGAGACTTGAGTTTGACTGCAACAGGCAAAATCACCCCATTTATTTCTTTGAAAGGTGTCATTTCTCCTCTTGCTTGCTCCAAAAGGTTCCCAACACTCTGTTAACTTCATTTTGTACTTTTAAGTTTTTTTGTTTTTTTTTGTTTGTTTGTTTGTTTGGTTTTTTTTGGTTTTTTGAGACAGGGTTTCTCTGTATTGTCTTGGAAGCTGTCCTGGAACTCGCTTTGTAGACCAGGCTGGCCTCGAACTCACAGAGATCCACCTGCCTCTGCCTCCCGAGTGCTGGGATTAAAGGCATGCGCCACCAACGCCTGGCCACTTTTAAGTATTTTTATGCGTCTCACTGTAACTACATTCAGGTAGGGTTTTATTCCCATGTGCCTACAGATTCCTTAAAACACCAAACTGTTATATATCCTGGTTAACCTATAAACTTTTAGAAAACCCACATCTGGATTAATTTTAGCGAATTAAGTATGAAAATGCTGTGGAAAAACTAATACCAAAATGACTTCGTACAATAAGGAGCAGGAGAAATGGCTCAGTGGTTAAGAGTACTCACTGCCCTTGCAGAGGACCCAAGTTCTATTCCCAGCACACATATGGTAGCTCACAACTATCCGTAACTCCAGTTCCTGGGGATCTGACAACCTCTTTTGGGCTCTATAGGCTTCCAGACATGCATGTGGTACACAAATACACATAGAATTAAAGAAAATACAAGTAAGAATAAAACTGGAATTGCTAGTATTGTGCAACAATGTATAAAGCTGCCTAAGTATGAATTACCAATACTGGCAATACACAGGAAGAAGTCATGTGACTAGTAGGTGACCTGCTTCTCATGTGTTTACGAATCACATGTTACCACTCAGAAAGTTAAACTGTTTGTAAAAATATTGTTCTTTATTTAAAACAAAAACCTCAATGCTAGCAATACTTATACAGACTATGAGACAATTTCAGAAATGATTTTTGTTCTTAAGTAATAATTCTGGTTGAATTTTAAGAATGAAATTCCACCAGGCAATGGTGGTGCACCCCTTTAATCCCAGCACTTGGGAGACAGAGGCAGGCAGATCTCTGTGAGTTTAAGCCCAGCCTGGTCTACAAAGGACAGCCAGGGCTATACAGAGAAACCCTGTCTTAAAAGAGAGAAAAGAAAGAGAGAGGAGGGAGGGAGGGCGGGCGGGAGAGATGCCACAACTGAGAAACTACCTTTCAATATAGCTTACATATTTTAAGAAAAAAAATCCATTTGTGATAAAGTACTAAATAACTGGTCAGACTGTGCTTCCATGTTTCTTTTCAACATTTAAGATCCCAGTGAAAACATTCCAAAAGCCTCAAGGGCTTCTTTCAGCTCACAGTTACACACACACTGCTGCATCTGATAAGGTAGATTCCATGCCCTGCCCTAAGTGTGGAGAGTTTAAGAACTTGTAATACTCAGTCCACCTGAAATGTCAAATAAAGTGCATTTTATGGTATGAATTTAGAGATTACAGGAAAACAAATTGTGCATTTTTTTTAAGTCAAAGATTCTTTAAACACGAGACTTTAGAAACAGTGTCCTTGATCTCTGTGAGTTCTAGGCCAGCCTGGTCTACAGATGAAGTTCCAGGACAGCTCCAAAACAATACAGAAAAACCCTATCTCCAAAACCACCCCCCAAAAAAAGCCACATGCTGAACTCCCATGGGCAGCACAATGGGATTTGATGGATTAGAGAAACAAAACAAAACAGAAGACATAAACTTGGGTGGGTAGGTAAAAAATAAAGGATGAATCTGGGAAGAGTTGGAGTAGGGAGTGAATATGAATAAAATACATATGAAATTTTCAAATAACTAACAAAATCAAATAAAAAACTAGCTTTCCTGGATTGCTAACATTCCTGTCTTTACACCTAACTGACTTTCTGAAACACAACTCCCAGGTGTCAGCATATGCTTGGCTGATTCCCTGAAGCTATAAAATATCAACCACAAGGAGTATTTGGTACTTTTATAAGGAGAAAATTATATAATTTTATGAACTTTAATGTTTAAGATTAAGCTACACTTTAGATTTGTGGCTAACAGCTATTTTGTTCAAATCTTCCATAATCCTCAAATTGTTCAATACAATATACATAGGAATAATTGCAATTCTAAGTTAAATAGTTAAAGTCAATGTAAGTGTCATGTTCAAGTCTTACCGTAATACTTGATGCATTCATATGCTGTATCAACTTAGAATCAGGGACAATAACTTGTGGTGCTGTAGCTACAAGTAGACAAAGGAAAAAAAGACATTTGTAAACAAGGAACCATGAGAGGACACATCACAGTCATAGTAATGCTATAAAATGCTAAATACTTTTTTTTTCATGCTTCTGTTGTGTTTTCTACATTAAAATACTCTCAAACTATTTCCTATTTCAGAAGTTTTTAAATTTTCCTATGGAAATCAACAGCTGAGATATATTCATTTTATATTGACAAACATTAAAATGACTATACCTCGGCCAGGCATGGTAGTACATGCCTTTAATTCTAACACACTCAGGAAACAGGCAGGTAGATCTCTGAGTTCATCCTTTGACCAACTTGACAGCTACCACAATCATGGCATTTTAATTAGCTATTTAAAAACATACAAACCAATGGGTGTAAGCGCTTGCTGTACAAGCATGAGAACTTGGGTCTGAGTCTCCAGAATACAGGTAAAAGGCAGCCACACAGCCAGGGCACTATAGAACCACTGCTCTGGGCAGCAGATGGGAGCTACAAGGGCAATGAGACACGCGCGCGCATGTGCATACACGCATGCACAGACACGCTCGCGTGCGCACGTGCACACACACACACACACACACACAATTCAAAAAATAGAATTGTTTGATCCCGCAAATTTCAGAGAATACACAGATAATCCCATTACCTTGATATTCTCTGAGTGAAAAAAATCAATTTTAATTTATGATGACCTAAAATCCTAGTGCCATGCCTAAAGACAATAGGAGGAACAGTCATCAAGGATGCCATTATACGGTACAGACTTAACATGGGTATTAAGAGCTGGTGAGAAGGCTCGGCTCGGCTCAGCAGGCAAAGGCACCTGCCCCCAAGCCTGAAGACAGAGGTCCACACTTGGAACCCGCACAGGAGAAGGAGAGAACAGACTCCTGCAAGTTGTCCTCTCCTCGTGCACCATGGTCAACCACTCCTCCACAAAGACTAAACTAAATAAATCTTTAAAAAACAAAGATATTCAAATCAATTAGGCATAAACATTAAGTCAAATCATACAGGCTTTTCTCTTACATATTACTTTTGCATTTCATATATGGAGATGAAACAAATCAGTCACTGAACCGTGAACACCTTAAACTAAGCTTTCGTTTATCCTATTTCCTTTCTAGTCAAGATTCATCTAACTAAAATATTGACAAAATTTTGTAACTGAGTAGATTTTTGTCATATAAAAAAAGCTATGTATGATGGATCAAGATTCTTTGTTTCTCCCTCTGGGTTTTTCAAGACAGTTTCTCCATATAGCCCTGACTGTCCTGGAACTTATTCCATAGACCACACTGGCCTCGAACTCTCAAGTGCTGGGATTAAAGGCATATCCACCACCACCTGGCAAGATTCTTAAATCTTTCCAGGGCCCAGGTTTTCTTCAATTATGAAATGTAGCTAGTGGCTATTCTGTAACACTCCAATAAAAGATTAACAAAATAGGACCTATAACATAATTTGCATTAAAATTAAGCTAAATTGTATATCCATTTTCTACTTAAATTAAGACTAACTTTTCAGACTATCAAAGTTACAAAATTTTTCTAGTATACATGGATAAAACAAAACAAACATGTCATTGAAAGAACATGTCTCATAAAGAAAATTGCCTTGCCTAAAATAATAAAACCCTTCATATAGAAGCCTCTATCAATATGGGTCCCCATTTTTTCTTCTTAAATATCCATAAGCACAAACTCAGCCAATAGAGGGAAAGAAAAAGAGCAATAGGTATAGATTTTCCCCCCACCAAGTATCTATTTAAAAGGATAATCCAAGAAACTCAAGAGTTAAAAGAATACTTTCCAAAGACAAGAGTAATCTGTAAGCATAAAAGGGAATCATCTATCCCTCCTCACCTTGCTGGGATGCAGGAATAAGAACCTGCTGGGTCTGTGCTTGCTGAGGTACTGTTTGCTGCGGTTGAGCTTGCTGGTGGTGGTGGTGGTGGTGATGTTGCTGCTGCTGAGGTTGATGCTGCTGCTGAACTTGCAACAAAAGCTGCTGCTCTTCTGAATGAAATCCATCTACTGCCCTAGACTGCATTAACTTATTCTCCCACAACTAAGACAAAGAACAATAAAGACTTCTCAGTGAGGTAAAGGAAACTCTGCACATATGGGCAAAACATTCATTAGGTGTTTATAAGTTTCTTCCATTTTAAGAAATGATACAAGCACAAAAATTAGCCTTTAATTCTTATCCAAGTTTTATATAAGGAAAATGTCATCTTTATTACTTTAAAGTACTGAAGAATTTTTTTTACATTCTAGGAAACTTTCTATAATAATTCCTTAATTGGAAGGAATTATTTAACAAAAAGTTCCCAGAGTCAATACCTTAGGAAAAAAACATATACACAGCTTATCTTTTCATTTCAAAACCATTATTAAATTACTTTTATAGAACTTTGCGCAATACAAATTTTCTATTTCACCAGGTAATGGTGGCACATGACTTTAATCCCAGCACTCAGGAGGCAGAGGCAGGCAGAGATCTCTGGGGGGGGTGGGGGGGGATTCAAGGCCAGCCTGGTCTACAGAGCAAGTTCCAGAATAGATTCCAAGGCTACACAGAGAAATCCTATCTTGAAAAAAATCAAAAACAAACAAACAAAAATTTTTCTCTTAGATAGCAAGTCAACAGAACAAATATTCATCTCTCCTTCTGTAGAATGAGAAATAGGAATTTCTCTTCTTCCCATAAGACTGGCAATCACTTTCTGCTTAGTCATTTCTATAGGCAGAATATCTCTAACATAAAAATTCAAAATCTGCAATGTTCCAAAATCTGTGCTGTCTTGACTCTTGACAGTAGAAAAATTCTACCTAAAGAAATTTTATTCTATGCACAAAATTATTTAAAATAGTATGTAAAATTAGCTTCTAGCAATGTATACAAGGTATATATAAAACATAGGTGAACTCATTGCATATTATATGCAAGTTTTCCAAAATCTGAAAAAAATGCAAAAAGGAAATAAATATTCCTAGTTAGTGACACCTTTCAGATTAGACATACCCAATCTGTATTTACTCATTTCACCATAGGGTAAATTCTATAATGGAAGGAGAAAGAAGAAATGAAAACATTTCCAACTATTTCCTTAACATATTTGCTGTTTTGTCTAATGTTTAATTCGAGTCTCACTCTCATAAGAAATTATCCAGGAAAATAAAGCTGTGTTTCTCAAATGCAGATGCAACAGTCTGGTCATTTTCACACTTGCAGATCCCACTGCTTCTGACTCCAGGACCCTTGGGATACTGCTAATTTAGAGGTTTCACCAAGATCCTCTCTCAGAGGACTACATGCTAGTAACATAACAACCCCAGTGCCGGGCGTTGGTGGCGCACGCCTTTAATCCCAGCACTCGGGAGGCAGAGGCAGGCGGATCTCTGTGAGTTCGAGACCAGCCTGGTCTACAGAGCGAGTTCCAGGACAGCCTCCAAAGCCACAGAGAAACCCTGTCTCAAAAAACAAAAAAAAAAACAAAAACAAAAACAAAAAAAAACAAACAACCCCAGCATCTTTCCAACAGTGTGTGTACTAAAAGAATCAAGTAAGTCAGGTTCACAGTAAAACTATTTCCCTAGCAAGCCCAATCCTTAAGTGCCTGAAATCCACACTTAAAAAGATACCAAACTCTATTCACAGTTATCAGAGTTGAAAGCCAGTCACCATTGAACGACAGCTGCTATTACTACTGCAGTGGTGGCTTTAATTACATAACAGCATTACAGCAGAGGCTGGGGAACCAGTTAATCCTGGTTTGTCTATTAATGTGACTCAATCATGTAACATTCTTAGACATTTTCCTCACCTAAAAATTAAAGGAAATTTTGATTTACATTACTCCTAACTTCTAGACAATAATAGAGGCTTCTACAAACCCCACACTAAAAACAACTGTGTTTCTTTCTTCCTATAGCAACAAAGTACTACTTCCTACAGTCCAAACTATGTCTGGCTGGTCTCTGCAAAGTGGGCTAAAAGCAGGCCAAAACAGGTACTTGACAAGTAAGACATATTATGACTAGTGTATTATAAATGGTAAGTTTCTCAGATATGCTATTCACCTGAACCTCTCTTCCTCTTCCCTCTTTCAAACCCAAAATAAAACGTAGTTTCTTGTGAGTCAAAAATCCGGGTGAGTCAAAAATCAGGGTGTAGGGCACCTGTCACCAAGATTTATGATAATGGATTTGATTCCCCAGGACCCACACGGTATAAAGAGAACCAACTCACATAAGTTATCCTCTGACCTCCATATGCACATAGTGGGTCACATGTATATACATATATGTGCGTACAAGCACACGAACACACATTTTTTTCTAAGAGAACTATTAGTGTTCAAGAAATTGGCTTTTATGCCAGGTGTAGTGGCACATGTCTTTAATCACAGGATTCTTGTGAGTTCGAGGCCAGCCTGGTCCACATAATAAGTTCCAGGACAGCTAGAGTTACATAGTGAGATCCTGCCTCAAGGTATGTGGGGGGGGGCAGTTACTTGCTGATCCACAATCCACTTAAATACAAGTTTATCAACTACATCTTATATCTTCCCTACCTCCCATAGTTCACACACCTAAGTGAGCTCTTAACAATTCGGAAATGATCCCAATAACTGGGTTGGGGTTTTTTTTGTTTTGTTTTGTTTTAAATCATGACATCATCTGTAGTATTTAGTTAACTTGTAAGTTACAGGCATTCTCACCATGCATCTCAGTTCATAATCTAATTTACCACTGTATCTGATTGCCTTAGCAACCGCCTGATAATCTGTTAAACAGTTAAAAAAGGAGAAGGGCAAGCATTAAATCAAAGTCCATTATAAATCATAAAACATACAATGGATATTAACCTTGTTAACAAGAAAGTCTGTGTATCTCAATGTGGTAATCACTAGTTACATGTAGTGATTTAAATTTAAATTAAGCAAAATTAATAAAAAATGTATTCCTTGGTTCCTCTAATCACATTCCAAATGCCTACCAGCCACATGTGGCTAATGACTATGATGCGGCAGACACAGAAATTTCCATCACTGTAGAATGCTGTCCCTGGACAGGGCCAGTGTCCAACTGTTAAATCTAGGGCACCTTCTGAAAATTCTAATGAGGGCCTGAAGAAATTCAGTGCAGAGAATTAAGTTCATTCTGGCCCAACAGCTTTAACTCTTATGACAACCCAAGACATAAGAATATGCCCCACTTAACAGCAACAAAAATAGCATTGTTAAGATTCTGGAGACACATCTGCTATTAAGCAGTTCAGCTAAATACTTAACAGAGTGCCAGTCGCACAGGCCAGGTATTACGGTAGAAACTGAAGATTAAAAACTGAGTGAGTCACTTTCAAATGTAAGAAACATGCAAACGGAATTACTTAATTTTTCCAAGACAACTCAGCTTCTCTGAGCAGAATATCTTACAGATATGGGAACCAGTCAAAACACTGAATTCTCCGGACTGTAATTTACAAAACCAGAGCAAATAATCAATTGAAGTCTTTAGGGCTCATTTCCACACCTATAGAAATTTTATCTTCTATATAAAGCCACAGAAGTGTAAGAACAACCAGTCGTTGCAGCAAAGTGTAAAACACTCCCCAGTAAACTAAGGATCATGCTATTTATCTACTCTTCGTGCAATTTAGTACTTTATACTGTTCCATGCTGTTCCAACTCCTGCTTCAGAGGAGGTATTCTAACAACTGCACCCTTAAGCATTAATAAACTTACATTTCTCTCCAGCTAGTATCACTCATCTCACTGAAACTTACTTTTTTTCCCTTTCTTAAATTGTCAAATTCTTATTGAATACTCTACAAGTTGTCCATAGGTGCTTAAACATATTAAGACCTATTTCATCTCCACAATAAACTTCAGATTTGTTTTACTTCAAATGAGTGCTAAATTCTAGCTTCCACATCTGAATGGCAAAGACCACAGCTAATGTCCCTAGCCATTTATTTAGCTGTGATGATTTCAACACAGCTCAAAAGGAATTGCTCCCAATTTCTACCCCAGACGTTCTAGTATCTTCTGACCTCAGGTTCATCATCTCAAATTTATTAGTTTGGATGGGGGGGAGTGCGCACAGACCACGGTACATGTCGAACTACTTTCTGGAATCAGTTTCTGCTCCACTCATCTCTTTTCAAAAATTACGAAGGACTTCAAAAACTTTTTACGTATTTTTAGTGTTATAAAGATTTTTAAATGAAATAAAGGTCTATGAAATGACACCAATTTTTCCAGAATTAAACAAGCAAAAAAAAAAAAAAAACTGGCAGAAAGGACTAAAAGAAAAGAAATGGGATCTACATCTGCATTTTACTATTGTTTTGGTTCAAAGGTAGAAAGGAAAATTTCCCTTACAGTTAACACAGTTGAAAAAGCAAAAAGTATTTTAAAATATTTCTTAATAGTCCAGAAATCTATGTCAAACTATACACCAATGAATTTTTCATACTTAAAGTGAAATCTACTACTATATCTTGTACTTTGAATGGATCTTCCAACATGCACTGAAAATGTACCATGCAGATGTTTCAAATGCTAACTTATTTCCCTATACAAGGAGTATGCCACCTTTTTAAAATAGTCATGGGTATAGTAAACATCCCTAAAGCAAGCCTGCTGCTCTAAGGAAAGACACAGTAGGTACTGTGCACACGGGTGTGAGTTAACGCTGGCCTCTCACTGAACAACGTTTGTATGCGTGCATGTGGAGTCTACAGAAGGATGTGAAGTTTTCCTACCATCACTTTCCACCTTTGCCTAGGGACAGGCCTCTCACTAAAACCTGGAGCTCCAATATTCAGGCCAGCCAACGAGCTCCTGGGATCCCAATGTCTCCATCCCCCAAACAGTGGGTGACAGGCACATGTGGCCATGCCTGTCTTTTATGTGGTGCTGAAGATCTGAACCCAGGTCCTCTTAATTTCAAGAGCAACCACTCTTACTCAGTGAGTCATTTTTCTCCAATCACACTGCATACAACTTTTAAATTAAAGAATAACTGAAATTTTTAAACTTGGGTACAAAAATACTCCAGTTTCATGTCATTCTATCAGCAGGAAAACACAAATGCTATCTTTTCAAGTGTTTCGCCTGTATGGATGTCTGTGCACCACTTGTGCCCTGACGCCTGTGAAGGCCAGAAGGGGGCATCTCCTGGAACTTAGTTGCACACTATTGTGAGCCACCATGTGACCTGAACCCAGGTCCTCTGGGAAGAGCATCCAGAGACTGGGCCATCTCTTCAGTCCCCACACAAATGTCACTTTAAAAATCTAGGTATTTCTGCATCAATTTAAGAGAAAAACTAGCTCTCAGTGTTTAATAAACAAATGAGCCATTTAGTACACAAAAGACTTGACTGTAGTACCTAACTTCTTTTATCAAGCATTTATTCAATCCCTCTAACATAAATAAATTGTAGCATACAAATATAGTTAAGACTACAAAAAAATTTAAAAAACTTATTGACATGTCAAGTAACTGGACCATAAAACACTTCATGTGAATAAGTAAAGCTATTATTAGGCATTTTGGTAGGTATTCTCTGTATTTATTACATTTAATCCCGAGAACAACTATCTAAGAAGTCTGTACTATCAATTCCTAACTTAGAAGGAAAGAAGCTGAAATGCAATTTCTCTGCCCACAGTCAGAGGAAGAGGAAGAATGTACAGCACAGCTGGGGTTTTAAATCAGTACTATACACTAATGACTACAGCGTCTCTCCTTAACATCATACAGTCATCCTACAGAAAAGTGACTTACGGTGACTACGGAAAATGGTTTTTCTTGAGGGAGATATTCTTTAAAAAGAGACAAACAGAACTCACAGTTTTTAGTTCCATCAGGACTTGCTCATCCACTCCATCATCCAGAAAGATGTCTCGTACATCATTAATAACATCTTCAATCACAGATCTATACAATTTAGGCTTTAAAAGAAAAATAAGATTCAATAAAAGACTGGTTTTGAAAGTTTAACAGGCTTTAAGAAATCCTTAAATTAAATATCTGATCCTTAAACACAGGTCATTTGGTCAACTATCTAAAATTAATTTTAAATTGTGCCTTTAAAGATAATGGCAATCCTTGGGGCTGGAGAAATGGCTCAGTAGTTAGTTAAAAGCACTGGCTGCTCTGCCAGAGAATCCTGAGTTCAATTCCTAGCACCCACATGGTGGCTCACAACCACCTCTAATGAGATTTGGTGCCCTCTTCTGGCCTGTAGTCATATAGAATACTACATATAATAAATAAATCTTTAAAAAAAAGGATAATGGCAATCCTATATTGGCATCAGGTGTATAGTGTATCAGTTGGGAGGCAGAGACAGGAGGATTTCAGAGTTTCAGGCCAGTCTAGTCTACATAGAGAGACCTTATCTCAAAAACCAAAATAAACAAAAAATAAATAAATAAAAAACCATAAAACATATTTGGCCTCATTAAACTAGATAACTACATATTTTATAGAAATATAAAGGTATGCAATGTAGTTCATAAACCAAAATTCTTTATGCACAGGCAGTCCATACAGATTCTAGTAATAACTTCCTTAATTGTGAGCAAAATAGGGAACATCGTAATTAATATTCATGATCATGTCTGGTTCCTACTACCTATGCTTGGTTTAATCCCTATCCAATCCCATAACCTTTCCAATTTCATACATTGGGAAGCTTTTTGTTCACTAGTCAGCTCCTGGCCATACCTAGAACCCTCATCAGTTTTTAATGATACAAAATGACCTGTTTATCCCCCCACCAACGGCCCTTCAAGTCACTCCACTAAACTGTACACTGTGTAATTTTAAGTCGGTAGGACATTTTTCAGGAAAACAGACATTTTCATGTTTCAGAAATCAGTTCCCCCAATAGCTTCTCCTTAGAGATTCAAACACTTAGGAACAAACGTGGTTTCGCTACGGTTGAAAGAAAAAAGGGAAACGCTTAAATTCCAAAATTGAGCCAGTTTTCGTCTTTATTGCAAACAAGGTCATTTAGTCTGTCCTTTCAAAGCACAGTATCCCAAACTTTGAAACCAGCAAAACAGAGGCCACATGTGGTATCATCAGTGATTCGTTGCAGGGTTCCTTTTAGAAAATATTAATTTTCTGGCACAATATTAAGTAAACGGGGTGGATTTTTATACCGAACCCCATGTTAACTGCTGATATAATTAAAACCACCACCTGATCTTTAGTTGTTAAAATCCAATTTAGGGTACGCCTCTTCAATGTATTGTGGGCATGAGATCTCACAAGCCACAAAAAAGCCTCTGTCACTATTTCTTTGAAAAGTTTCGTGCCTTGGGTATTTGTACTAAGAAAACACGATGAAATGTTAGAAGCTGTTATTTCTAACATTTCCTGGACACCTGATGAACAAAACATTGCCAGACCCAAGTCCTCTGTGGGAGAAACATTTAATGCAATGTATTTTTTTAAGCCGAGAACGTTGAAGGCAGGCACCTCTTTAAGGGGGTTAAAAAAAATCATCCTATGTCATCTAAAATGATTTATAATTAAACTCTCTATATAAAGGGTTAAAAAAAAATAAAAGCCAAAACGCTGCAGCAATTCTGACCTACTTCCCACTACAAACAAAGGCGGCATATCCTAGCTGTTGCGGTAAAAACACACCCGGAGCCGAGAAGGCAGCCTCCCGGCTTGGAAGCGAAATTTCGGCGTGAAGGGAACCTAGAAATAAACTGAGCTCCGCACGCGGGCGCCTCTCGCCTCGGGAGCACGCACCTCCCAGCCCCGCGCTCAGCAGCTCTCACTATTTAAAGCCGGATCTGGTGTTTAAATGGAGAGGCGGTGACGTAGGCCTGAAAAGCACCTTCCCATCCTGGCAGAGTCTATATTAGAGAGCGGCAATGGCTCTATATAAACAGGGCAGCCAAAGGGAGGAGGACCACAAGGCGCAGGCAGTGAAAAGCAGGGTAAGCGGCCGCAGCCATGATGGATCTACCCGAGTCGCCAACGGTACGGGGCCGGGCAGCAGCGGGCTGCTCGCTCTGCGGCGTTTGGGACCGGGCAAAAAATAGAACAAAACAAAAAACCAACAACAAAACGAAAAATAAAAAACACGTGTTTTATTTTCATAATTAAAAAAAAATCAAGTTGGGGGTGGCCTAGTGATCACATTGCGTTGGTGACTATTGAAAAGGTTATTTTTTTATGTGACTGCTTTTTGCAAACCTACGTGATCGCAAGTAACCAAAAAAGGGAGCAGCGGGAAGTAGGCAAATTTCACGGCGAATGCGGGGACACTTGGGCCACTCACTGTAAGGCTTTGTTTGTTCTGGTGCTTTTGCTAGTCGAAGGTACCACAGGGGTTTTGCTTCCCCTTCGCCATTTTACCCACTGGGGAGGAACCGAGATAAGTGCTTTCCAACCTTTTTTTTTTTTCTTGTATTTTTTTTTTGAGGATTAGCAAAATCGGCCCCAGCGCAGGCTTTCCAAAGCACCACCTCCAGAGAGCCCCCGAAGGCACGCCGAACTTGGCAGCGTCTGAGCGGCTGGCTTCCCCAGGCGCGGGGCTCGACCCACGGCCGCTCGGGGGCTGGCCGGGTCCGGGCCCCGCGTGGGGGGTTGGGGGAGGTCGCCGCCCGCCTGTCCTCGCCCCGGGGTCGGCAGCCAGGGCCCAACGGCCTGCGTGGCCCGCCCCGCGGCGCTCCCGACCCCGCCGCCCTCCGCCCGCCAGCCCTCGGCGCCCCCCCGCCCGGCCAGGCCCGCGGCGGGCAGCGGCGGAGGACGGAGGGGAACCGGGTCGGGAGCGCCGCCTCGCCCGGGCCCGCCCCCGCCCGCCCCGGCCGTTGCCTGCCGCCGGAACCTTCGCAGCCCCCGCCGGCCACCGCACCACGTCCTTACCACGGTGTTTGTGTTTGCCGAGTTCGCCATTTCCACACACAACACAAACAAGAGGGAACGAGATTTAAAAAAAAAAAAATCAAGAAAATTAAAAAAAAAACTTAAAAAGACCCGGAGGGTGACCCAAGTCACCCGCAAGAGTGGGGCGAAATTTGTTCAACAAAACCGATCCCGAAGGAGTAAGAGGCGGGAGACCAGGAGGAGGGGGGGCACTCCTCCCGCAGCTAAAAGCCTCGAGGATCGCCTTAAGGAGAAAAAAAAAAAATCAAGCCACGACCCCTCGGGGAGTTAGGGGGCGTCGCCCGCTCCCCACTCGGCGCCGCGGAGGGGGAACCAACACCGGCCACCGCTCCCAGCGCCGCCGCTGCCGCCACCGGCTGCAGCTCCAGCCGTCCGGTCCGCCTGCTTCTCCCCTTTATATAGCGAGCCAACAAGCTGCGCGAGCCGCCGCCGCCGCTGCCGCCGAGACTCAGGGCGGAGGGAGGGAGGGGCGGAAAGGGCGGGGGCAGCGGGGGGCGGGGCCGAGCGCGAGACACCGCGAGAAGCCGCGTGCGCACGCGCGCCGGGGCGTCACTCGCCCTCCTCCCCCACTCACACACGCGGGGAATGGGGCCGGGTGGGCGGGGCCGCGGGGACTGGAGTAAAAGAAGGCGCGCCGCCGCCTTTCCCCCCGCCCCCCCAAGTCTCGCGCGATCACGTGGTTGGCACACTGGCGGAAGCGGCCGGGAGGAGTTGGCCGGGCGATGGGACTGGAGGAGGCCGGTTGTGTTTAGCGGCCGCCGCCCCTCGTCTGGAGTTGGAAGGGTACCTAGCACGGCTGCGGATGGAGGGAAGGGGGCCGACACCGCTGGTGGAGATGAGGCACCGAGTAGCCTTGGGGGCGCCCGGCTCTCTTGAGGATGGCTGCGGAGGGAGGGCACGTCACGTGGTCCAGCTTCCGCTCCCCCGCCCCCCTCCGCGCGCGCGGGGGCTTGGGACACTTAAATGCGGAGTCATCTTTTGATTCGTGAGCTTGGGTCGAACGGGGAGGAAGTTGGCGCCTCTTGCGAAGGGATAGACCGTAGAGCTGGGTAGAAGTGTAAAGGAAATGAAAGCGTTTGTGCTCACGCTATCTGCGTTCCAGAATTAGGAACTCCTGAAGGCGTTTTGAGCTGTTTGTCTCTATAAGTTTAGACTAACAAAGTGGTTTGGCTTACCGTAAGTAACCCCCCAAAGATTCAGTCTCTACCATCTCAGGGACCTTAAATGACTTCTTAGCGTGGCAGGAAGGACGAAAAGGGAGACCGAAATCGAATACAGCCACTAGATTGTGTGGACTACCCGGCAAGCTTACTGCTTTTGTTTGGTAATGTTACCAAAGTAATGCGATCTGAACATTGGCCAGCACGTAGTGACTAACCACATCTGAACCCCATGCCCCTGACTCACCAACTTGCCTGGCCTGTCACTTACAAGAAGAGATCAGGAAGATTCTGTTTGTATCTTAGCGTGCAATTATCGCCAGTTTGACCCTTGACATCCAATCAAATCCTGCCTTTGTACTAATGTTTCACAGAACAGACTCCTGTTCGGCAGGCGGGATTTAAGTGCCACTTTTCCTGATTCCAGGGACTTGAGAACAAATAAAATTTGTAATGTGGAAGTGTAAAGTTTATATTCAAAAAGCAAATCCAGTCGAGCAGTGTCATTCTATTCCGTGAAGCCAGATATGTGGACTATCAAAAGACTAGCAGAGCTAGGAACGTGTACAGCCTGCTGTGACTTCGGGGAAGGGATTAGAAAAGGCAAGACCGTGACATGAATACTGGGAAATTGAATATAATAAGGTCTCTCTAGATATTTCTGTGGAATTTGTTTGATCTTTAGGTTTTGGATTTGTTTATTGGTTTTTGTTTTGTTTTTCTTTTTGAGACAAAGTTTCTCTGTGGAACCCTGGCTATTCTGAAACTCACTTTGTAGATCAGGCTGGCCTCTGCTGGGACTAAATACGTATGCCGCCACACCCAGCTCTATTCTCTGCTTTAACCTTTTTTTTTTTTCAGTCAGGGTCAAGTTTCAAGACCACCTGGATTGCATAGAGAGCTTGTAGACCAGGCTGGCCTTGAACTCAGAGATCCTCCTTCCCTTTGCCTCCTTAGTGCTGGGGATTAAAGGTGTGTACCACTTCATTCGACCACTGAATACAGTGACTCATTTAAAATAATTAACAGGACATAAGTGTTCTTGGCATATGAAAATATGAAACTGAGCCAATCAACATTCTGAAAGTATTTCACATTTAGGTAACAATTAGCCTGAAAAGTGAGTCTCCCTGTTACTTTGAGAGAACCTGTAGGCAGACACACTAGGTACTTTTTACACCTACTTTTTCTTCCTGCCACTTGGTATTTGTAACTAAATGATGAGGTGTTTTTACCATCCGTTAACAGTTAAGACCACCAAAGACAGAACTTGGAAGTGAACCCATAATTCTCTGCAGAATTAATCTTCATACTGGATTGATGGATCTACGCTGTTAGGTCTGATTTGTGAAATCAGTGTTAATCTGATGTCTTCTTAAGGGTTGCTTTAAGGTCTTGACAGGTGGCTCATCAGTTAAGAGTACTTGCTGCTCTTCCAGACAACTGAGTTTGTTTCCCAGAACCCACATCAGGAGACTCACGACCACCGCTGCTCTTTTAGTACCCGCACACAAGGGGTACACAGGGATATACATAAATGAAAACGAATGGTCTTTTAGAAAAAGACACCACCATCAGACGACGGGAGGCTATCAGTCTCCCTGTCTGTACAATCATAGATGGCAACAATGCCCAGCACTTGATTAATTTCCCCAAAAGACTTGTCCCTTCTCCAGTGCCCATGTATCTGGCTTCTGAACAGCCACCATGGATTCTGTCGTAGTGTATTGTCTCTAATTCTTCATTCAGCTGTAATTAATACCCCTGCAGTCACAATGTGTGTGTGTCAGCAAGTTTCCAAGATTTTCTGATCTTGTATCAAAATCCTAGAACTTGGGCTGGGCAGCAGTGTCATGCGCCTTTAATCCCAGCACTCAGGAGGCAAAGGCAGACAGACCTCTGAGATCTGAGGCCAGCCTCCTCTACAGAGCAAGTAGAACCCCTATCTCAAAAAATAATAAATAAAAAATCTGGAACGTAATGTTTGGAACCTCTAACCCTTTAATGTATAAAGCAAAGACTAGCCAGAAAACACTCAAGCAAAACTACTTCATGTTTAATTTAAATTTTTACCTGGCCCTCCCCTTTTTTTGTCTAAAGCTTGAAAACTCCTCTAATAACTTTGTATAAACATACTGGATTTCCTTTTTTTTTTTTTTTTTTTGGTTTTTCGAGACAGGGTTTCTCTGTGTTGCTTTGGAGGCAGTCCTGAAACTCTGTAGACCAAGCTGGCCTGGAACTCACAGAGATCCGCCTGCCTCTGCCTCCCTAGTGTTGGGATTAAAGGCGTGAGCCACCAATGCCTGGCTTTGGAGTTCCAATTTTTGAGTTCATATTATTAAGTTATGCAGACATATAATAGTGCCTTTTTTTTTTGTAATGAGTATCTTCCATACTGTCGTCAGTTAGAAACCTGGTGCAAGGGAAACTCCCAGGACTCTACAAGGATGACCCCAGCTAAGACTTTTTTTTTTTTTAATATGGAACACTTCACAAATTTGTGTGTCATCCTTTTGCAGGGGCCATGCTAATCTTCTCTGTATCATTCCAATTTTAGTATATGTGCTGCCGAATCGAGCACCCAGCTAAGACTTAACAATGGTAAATGAGTAGCCTGAACTGCCCATCTCGACTGGGCGGGTCTTCCAGTACAGGGATTGGGACACTAGCCCAACCACACAATCTTTGCACGAGGGTGGCTTGGAGATTGTGGGAGTGGCCAACCAATGACTAGTCCAGCCTCAGAGCCATACCAGGAGAGTGAGCACACACAAGACCTGGAGTGCCAGAATGCAGAGACTGGATGGACGGGAGACTTATGATAGAACCAAACACAAATGGGTGGGGGGAGTCTCAATGTAATGATGCCTAATGGTACTCTGCTATACCTAATAGATTGGTGACTACACTAGTTGTCATAAAATAGCCTTCATCCAAGCCGGGCATTGGTGGCTCACGCCTTTAATCCCAACACTAGGGAGCAGAGGCAGGCAGATCTCTGTGAGTTCCAGGCCAGCCTCCAAAACAATACAGAGAAACCCTATCTCGGGAAAAAAAAAAAAAGATAGCCTTCATCCAGTAACTGATAGAAACAGATGTGGAGACCCACAGCCAAGCAATGGGCAGAGCTCAGGAAATCCTGCTGAAGAAAGGATTGTACGAGCCAGGAAGGTCAAGAACAACGCAAGGGAAGCCATAGATATAACTAACATAGGCTCATAGGAGTTCGCAGAGTCTGAACTGACAACCTGGAGACTGTATAGGATCAATGCAGGCCCTCTACAGAGCAGTGACAGTTGTGTAGCTTGATCTACTGTGGACTCCCAGCAGTGGGAGCAGGTATTGTCCCTAATGCTTTAGCTGTCGTTTGAGAAACTATTCCTCATATTGGGGAGCTTAGTCCTACCTTAAATTGATAATGTCATGCATAGGAGGCCAGCCCCTTACTGAACAGAAACAGGAGAAATGGATTGGTGGGGAGAGAAAATGGGAGGCGAGGAGAGAGGGGAAAACAGTCAGGATATAAAATAAATGAATAAATTAAAATGGAAAAAAAAAAGAAAGTTCAAGGATAAAAAGAAACACCTGCATAACCAAGTATGGTAAGCACGCCTTTAATCTGAGGAAGAGGTAAGATCCCCATGAGTTCCAGGACAACTAGGACTACATAGAAAACCCTGTCTCAAACAAAAAACAACTATATTCTGGAGAACCAGGGCCTCCATGATGATGCCCAAAATGGTGAAAATCATCCTTACCTAGTCTAACAGATTGAAATGTAAATCTGGAAGGGTGGTGGCAGCCCACACCTTTAATCCCAGCACTCTGGTGGCAGAGGCTAGCCAATCTCAGTGAGTGAGTTTGAGGCTAGCCTGATCTACAGATCAAGTCCCAGGACTGTTACACAGAGAAACCCAGTCTCGAAAAACAAACAAAAAGGAACGAAGAAAGATGGCACAGAGCATAAACAAAGTTCTTTAGCACTAAGTCTTAAGAATCATGATGAGCCGGGCATTGGTGGCTCACGCCTTTAATCCCAGCACTCACTCGGGAGGCAGAGGCAGGTGGATCTCTGTGAGTTTGAGGCCAGCCTGGTCTACAAAGCGAGTTCCAGGACAGCCTCCAAGACAATACAGAGAAACCCTGTCTCGAAAAACAAAAAAAAAAAAAAAAAAAAAGAATCATGATGAATTTTCTTCCTCTGTCTTTGAAGAGAGCTAGCTAGAAGTCAGCCCAGTGGCAACAAGTTCACTTAGTACATAGCCTCTGTGTGCTATTTCA